TTCCTCAACTTTGAAAGCGCTAGTCAAAATAAGAAAAAACCATCAACTGCTAAACTGAAACTTGATTTTTTTCTAGAGAAAAGGCTTTTCTGCCTAATGTTAAATACCTTAATTTGCATCAACTTTTTGAATTTCTATTCCTTATGGTTGAGAAAATGCTGCTATTTACATTATTCAAAGATAATACAGGAAACTAAAATGTGTAAGCATTAAATTAATGTCAGAAGTCAAAGATATATTGTGTATACCATTTAAGAAGCAGTGCCATGTTAAGAAGGTTCACTGACATAGCAATGACTTTAATAGATCACACTGCCAATTTAAAACAAACTACCTAAGTATTTACTCTGAATTCAAAACCCAGTTTAAAAATTAAGAGACCTTGGATTTGTGAAAGGAAAAAAAAAAAATTATTAAGCCGCAGACAAAATCTCCAAGTACTGAACTGATCTGGAGTGCATGCCATTTGACTATTAATTCTACTCATTGCAGGAGGTAGGTTATGTCTGATTTTTAATTATGCTTTATGTAAATATCCCCAGAGGCTTATGCAATAGGTACAGGCTTAAGTAAGGCAAGCTGGTGGAGGCAGGCAGCCTGCTCTGGAGAGGGAAGCCGGGAGCCGAGTTGACTCCATAGCCAAGGGCTGGGTGAGCTCCAGTTGCCATTGAAGGCCTCCAAACCCCCGAATTACAGAAGACGAGACTTGCTACATTGACACGCTCACCACCAAAAGCCACTTACTGAACGGAGCTCCAAAATCCTCTGCTACTTTGGTCAGCACAGCTGGCTTCTCCTGCTTGATTCACAACAGATCAGCAATCTGTTGTAAAGTTGCGATCGGCAAAACCGCGCAGCCCTGCGAGCACTAACACTGCCATATTTGTCACTTGCTTCGACTCTCCATTTCTACAAGCCAGTTTTCCGCCATGACAGTTTTTGGTAAGAACCTGCGTGCTCTGTGGCCAGAAGCCCTCAACCACCAAGGACCCTATGGACTTCACATACATGCACTATTAATCACCGCCCTGCCAGCAGGCCTTCACCTTGACCTACAGGCTTCACAACTAGTATGGAGGAGGCTGTTTAATACTCATGCCTTTGGCACCAATTTAAGTGCCAGCAAAATTCACAAGGAGTAGTACTAATATACTTAAAATTACATCAAAATCTCACTCTAAACAAGTTGCAGGCGGTGTCCAAACCGAGCAACTATTTACACCGAGGTCAAAACCACCTCATCTCTGACTGCAACCAGCGGTGAAAGTTTTCCCCGAACACCCAGGAAACCCTCTGTTTTACACAGAAACAGCACAAAGCCTCCTGGCCTCTTCCTTCCATGCCCAAAGGCGTGCTTCAGCTTGCAACTGTTTCTATTTGCATGTGATAATTTTAACTGGTAATTCTAGAAAATATTCTATACAGCTGCATTAAAATTTCACCTTGCAGACCTGATACAACTCATTTACACGGGATCCACCTCAGTCCCTGGTTTCCCAACCAGCAGCCTGGTGACTACCACAAGCGGGCACTGAGCTAGGAAACCAGAAAGTTTTGATTTTCCTCCCAGTTCTGCAAGGCAGGATAAATGCAGCACACTCTCTTCACCTGTAAAATGGGGACAATACTCCCACCGTAAAGTACCTGAAGATCTGATGTAAGAAATGCAATATATTTTCAAAAAAGTTAAGCTAAAATATTCATTCTCTTTTCATTCTCTAGATAAATACTTCATTACACTCTTCATCCCACACTTCCCTGATGATTTTCTTTTCTACCTAATTTGCCATTTTGACTAATCCAATTATTTTAGCATATTAAGCGCTGACTAATACAAGGATACAAAACCCAAATACCACTGCAGACACACAGCAGAGCCTACAGAATATGGTACCACTGTCTTTGACTTCAAAAGTAGAGAAAAGAGTACAGATCAAGACAGCATGGCAAACGCTCACTTTATTTAATTCTCCCTTCTGGTTCTCAGTGATTCCACTCACTGGTAATAGCTGAAGGCATACACCCAAATCAGTGACTCATGGCACAAGACCACAGTCCAAACAGTCACTGGGTTTTCAAAGCAGTGCTGTTCAAGAATTGCCATGTTCCATCCCAGGAGTTTAATTACCTCTTCTTTGTTAAAAGAACAAAAAACACCAACAAAAAATAACGCTGACAACAGGTGCCTCTTCAGTTCTCATACATACAGAAGAAAAAAAATTTCAAAAAAAATTCACTCTTGGTCCTCCCAGCCATACCTGTAGTCTAGCAAGGCAGCACAGATGGGAGGCACATCCTTCCCACCATGCTTCTTCCCCACGTTACTCTCCACAACCAGAAACACAAGACAGAAGAGCTCCCCAGGCAGTTTCAGCTTCGAGATTAGCCCAACTCCTCTAAGTGTGTTCTGGAAATCTCCAAATGTTTGAATTGGAACTTTTTTTTTTTTTTAATTATGTATTTTAAATAAGAAAGCTTTTCCTAGGTTTTTCAAACAAGTAATTCTACTTCAACAGCTGTTTGGGAACCTTTGTTTTTTTGACCTCAATGCCAACCTCCCAGACACATTATTTATAATAGGCTGTCTTCCTATTAGTCAAAAGACCAACAGAATGCTTAGTAAACACCTTAGCTGTTCAACCTTCACATCCTTTAAATGGGGCGGGTTCAAAAGGGATAAGCTTTCAAAGCAGAACTCTGCTCATCTTGTAAAGAGCCACAAACACTCTGATACAGCCCATTCCCCATCATTTCCAGGTTCTATAACTACTGCTTTGTATCTTCAAAGATACATTAAAATGTGACATAAAAGACATCCTAGGGAGCGGAAACTCATAAATTACTTGCATCCTATTCTATCTACAGTAGGCCTTCCAGCTCCCCAAAACAGGTATGTACTTGAACACGTAATCCCATATCATCATATGTTCAGGATACCAATCACACAAGGAACGTTCACACGCAAGCGCTCATCTGCCTGATCATCAGATTTTTACTTTAGTTAAATGTCCTGCTGTTAACACAATTTTTAACTTAGGTTAGGTGGTCACGAGCAAAGTGCAAATGTGGGTCTGCATCAGTTTAATCACTTTTTTATTCAGATAAGACCTGTCAGCTCGGTTTTCAGGAGGGCTGGACAAGAGGATCATCAATGGAAGGCGAAAAATTTAGACACGGGACCATGAATGCAGGCTCCCCTCCTTCCATTTCTTCAGAAGAAACATGGACACATACCGAAGTACCCACTCCTGGCCCCCAAAGTAAAAATGGTATGTATCGCCTTGGCTACCATCTTCTTCCTCCTGCAGAAGCACAGGGAAGTACAAAAGGTTGGAACCGCAACAAGCTTGCAAGTGCTAGCCACTTTCTCCTGCTTTCCACTAAGACTACACAAGGGCTACGATGGCGGCTGTGATCTCAAGTCTTCTTTCTAAAAGAGGCAACTAAGGAAATAAGATTCACCCTTTAGTGTAGGATGAGTGGGCAGTAGCAACAGACAAAAGCCTTCATTTATCTTCTCTCCCTAGGCTACATAAAGCAGTATTAGATGCAAGTTTACAGGCCCAACAATGCTCCATTTGGGTTGGGATAAGGCTCCAGTCCCTCCCCCACACCCTTCCCTTAAAACTCTCTGCAGGTTTGGAAGATCAAAGGAGGACACCTCCATTACCCTCTTCCATCTTGCTGGGTAAGAAGTATTTCTACTGCATAAAAGCGTGTGTGTATGTATACATATATCTCTCTCAGGAATTTAGCAGTCTGGGGATCCCATATCCTTCCTCCCAGTCCGGGGTAGCAATACCGGGGGCCGGAGGCTTTACTTTGTTCTCCGCTGGGCGGAGGATCTCACCTCCCCCTCCAAACCTGGTTCAAAGTGGAAACCACTCCTAGAGGTCAGGAGGCAGCAGCACGGGAGACATCTTTCCACCACCCTCCGCACGCAGAGAGGCAGCGGCGAGCAGAGGGCCCGGCCGCCCCGGGAGGGTGCAGGCGGGGCGCCCAGCCTCCTTTCCCCGGGGC